CTTACTTCTCTTCACTATAATACGATGCGCAGCATATTCTTCATTATAATTATCATGCACGAGTTTCGTTGATAAAAGTATTAAGTACGGTCAAGAACACAAAAAAAAAAACCCGATTATATTTATTCCTAATCGAGTTACCTCATTCCAAATTGATTACTCAAATAGAAGCTATTTTAAAAAAAATGTCGTATACAAGACGAACTTACAACTCGACGAATGAGAGGCTCCAAAACGGGCTCGATGAGATTTTGTAATTTGCAGAGGTTAATTACATCCCTCACCACACTGTACAAGATTACAGCAAAAATTTAATAGCTTATAAGTTTCTTAAAAAAAAGCTAAAAATTGTTCAAATAAAATGGCAAATGAATATTCTCTGACAAAAATTAAATATCAAGAAACTTAAAAAAATTAACGAAATTCGACCTTCTGAAAGACGGCGATTTTCTGGGGCGGCGCTCGTCGAAAGAGGTGCCCTCCTCCGGTTGTTGCCGCTTCTGCGACATTTATTTTTTTTTTCCCCAAAAAAAAATTAAAAAAATAGAAAATATAATTAATTAAGAAGATGAAGAGAGAGAAAATCAAGGGGGCCAGGATAAGAGAGGAAGAAGAAGAAGAAGCAAAAGGGTTTTAATTTCTAGAGGGGACAAAAAAACCAACATGCGGCGGTCCTACCAAAAAACAATTAATTGCACCAGCCCAATTGTTACCAGTAAACGACTCTATATATACACACACATACACATGTGTGTGTGTGTGTGTTTGAGGTGGATGTTATCTGATGGGAAATATGGGTTTGTTTTGTTTCAAAGTGTGGGGGAAAGAGGATGAGAATTGAGGAGAGAGAAAGAGAGGAGAGAGAGAGAGTAGGTACAAAAGGAAACGGAAAAATTAGATCTTTTTTATACGGGTTATATTCAGTAGTGTCCGAAGCTAGCGAGTGTCTTTTTACTACAAGGGTTTATTGGGTTTTAAGACGAGGTTATCAGAAGCGGGGGTTGATTAGGGTTTTGCTAGTTTGCGCCTCTGTGTTTCCGCCGTGATTTCTGGTAGCAGAATTGGAGGAGAGAGAGAGATAGAGAGAGAAAGTTTGGATGAAGAAGAAGGAAGAAAGGATGACGACTGTGGTGGTGGGCCCACGAAAACGTGTGGGGCTACTACTATGGACTATATTAAGCGCGTCATCTGGCTTGAAAATCGTTGTTTCAACCATATTTAAAAAAAAAATTGGTAAATTACGGCCACCGCCCCTAAAGTAGGATCAAAATTACGAAAACCCCCCTTGTTTTGGGTAATTACCAATCGTCTATCAATTATGAATTTTCTTATAAGGTCATCCTTATGTTAAGTTTAGTGGAATCTTCTAGATTATATGAAATATTTTTCAGTTTGTACTCGTTTTATCCTATTCAAGCTCAACATTTAAAACAAACTGACGT